TACTTATTACAGCAAAGATCCAGAAGACAGGTGCATTTCCACTGAGCTGGGTATAAACCTGAGATAAGTTTCTGAAAAACTGCTATGTTTTCAAAATTGTATATTTGAAGGTGTGATTCCAGAAGTATTCTGCCAGTGTTAAAACCCATAATTCAAAATAGAGAGACGGAGAGTCCTTTCTTATATCAATGCCACATGTTTTCATCACAGGAGTTAATATACGTTTTTCCTGAATCTTGGTCAATCTTCAGCTTTCTTGCATTTAATTTCTTGGGTTTCCTGAAAGAGTGCCCAAAATATGGCCCAGCATACACAACAGAAAAGGGAAGGCTAGAGGCATCACAGACCAAATGTAAAGCACTACAAATTTCTACAGGCAGGAAGGAGGCTTTGAGAACTCCTGGAAAGCCAGTAGGTATAACTCCTGGAAGAACAGAGCAGGCCTGCTCCTTCGCAAGAGGACATATACTCAAAGAGAGTTAAGGGGATGGTTCTATTAACTTACTGGTCTCTGCCTATTTCATGACTATAAAAATAATTTATAAAAATTTGAAAATGAGTAAAAGCTATATCTTTCAACAACTGGGGTTTGAATTTTTTGCTCTAGAGTAGGGTTGCTATACATAACTATTGCTGTAACAAATGAATGGCAATAAACAGTGTAAAATCCACAAGAATTTACGTCCCTAAAAGCATTTTAAATAGCCTCAACCTTGTCTTAGCTTGAAAAGTCTGTTGTGTCAACCTCTACAGGTCAAGCTATTCTTCACAAGCCTGATCCACCATAAAAACATCCAGACAGAGTACCAACTCTGAGCATCTGAAATATGTATCTACTTTTTCTTTGAAACATTTTTAGTTATGTGTTTGATAGGAAATCCTTTCTTTCTTCCAGCTGTGTCAGGCACTATGTGCCAGCTGATCTTTTCTGACAATGGTTGCAAGTGTCACAGCGTCACAGCAGACAGACCACAGTGACTCAAAGGCAAGGTCTGCTCTCCTGGACAAAGATGCTTCTCTGTCCATGCAAAATTTTTACTATAATTTCTGCCATAAATGTGCTCCATTTGCAAATTAAAAGAGCATTTGCCTACTCTTCTTGCTCAGCTAGGAATTCGGTAGCCTGGAAATCAGACTACCAGGGGCAGTTTATTTGCTCGCACTTGTACCTGACACTTGGAAATGAAGGATAGTCCCCATACTGCATGGCAATGGTGGCATTTCCAAAACATTTAATTTCTAGGAAAATTAAGGATACTTTTTCAATGCCCTGTGGATTACAGAAGAAACTTGTTTACAAGCAAAGAGACAGCTCTGTTTCCAGTAATTTCTTCATCAGAATCACACTGCGTCAAATGCCACTCAGGATATTGGTGCCAGCAAGGCCTGTCCTCATATCATTTCAGTGCTAACAAGAGCTAAACATGGGAATAAAGGACAGTTAGTACCACAGCAACTCCAGAAGGACATAAATGGTGCTGAGCAATCTCCTGGACACCATATCTTCCTTTCAGCCTTGTCCCTTTGTCCCTGTTCTTTCTGGTATTCGGTCAACTAGTGTAACTAATTTCAGGATCAGTTTCTGAGATTTTTTTTTTTTTAAAGATCAAAATGGCTGTGCCAGTAAATATAGTATGATGGTGCTTAGGGAAAAGAGGCCCAGGCACCTTTTTCTATCTGTTTATCTTTACTTTTAAAAAAATTATTTCTGCTTGCTTGATTGTCTTCACTTCTGCCCATGTTTTAAAACTTTCAGCTGCAACTTGGCTTGTCTGAGTCAATCTTTTCAGGCCCTAAGGAAAACTTATTTGAAAAAAATCTATGGAATAAATATCACTTGTTAAGCAAACATGCTAGATTAGCCTTATGAAATTGTTCCCATCCTTCTCCAAAAACACATGACACCTGGGATGTGGCTGCATCCTTGTTGCCATTGCAATAACCAGGTTCTGCTCAGGTACAGCCCAGTGTAGTCAGGAACAGTGCTGCAATGAAAGCTGTTGTAAGTGTACAGAATCACATAAAACAGGAGTACATCAGGACAGTCCAGAAACACATGCAAGCAATTACTTTTTCTTCTCTGACTGTGGAATTTGTTTCATTGCCTCCTTCGCTTGCTTCACCCTGCCTGAGCATCTGCCGCCAGGAAGGCTGCCTGTCTGGGACTGTCCCAGGGCAGATCTACACTTTTCCCATTGCAAACACAAAGAAAATCTAATACTAATACCTTGTGTACTCACTTGAACTTCCTACAGTAATTGAAGCCAGTCTGGAGCTGGTGTGCTAATGGAAACATAGCTGGTGTGCTAATGGAAACATAGCTGGTGTGCTAATGGAAACAACATTTCTTAATAGGTTACATGGCTGGGGGACAAAGGAGTGCCCAGCAGTCAGGACAGGTGTCTCACTACTAGCTGAAAAGAAAGGTGTGGATTTTCCCTGAAGATTCTGATTCATGCATGTGTTTTTTTTACAGAGGAAGATATTTAAATTAGGCACATGGTACTCTTAAAATAACCATTATTTGAAGATAAAGAAAACTACAATCCAACTTCTAAGGGAAAGCAAAGAAAGAACTCTGTCTGTAGTTTTGCCTCCTAAAAGGATTAGGTAAATTTATCTGTGGACTTTAAAACAGTATCAGTTTCATTTTAAAAAAGGATGTCATTCTGACTTAAACTATTGAAATCAAGATGAATAAGGGCCAAACTCTGTCCCTTACAAAACAACCTTAGATGCAGAAATTATACCATTTTGCAAATACCCCAGCTGTGCAGCAGACCACGGAAATCAGAACACAGTTCCTGTTTACCATTACTCTACACTCCTTTTCAAGAATTACCATTACACTGCCCATTTACAAATGGCTAAGGAAAAACAACAAATCTAATTTTTGTCTCACTTAACTAATCGCATATGGCTTTTACTTCTGCAAAGCATATGATAATAATTAAATACGGTGCTCGTCCCCTGAATAGTCAATATAGCCTTGAGGTATCCAAGGAATGCTTCCCTTCAGTGTACGTTATCTATCTATTGATTTGATGGTCTGAATGCATAAAAGCCTTGGGAACTAACAGCGTTTAATGATGCAGGAACTGCACTTCTTATCTACATGAATGCTGCAGTTGCTGAGAGAAATTCTGAGATACTTAATGAACAGACAAATTATGGCTAAATGAGAACAGGTTTATTTTCATTCATTCATTAACCACTGATATTATGGCAAAGAGTACAGAATATAAAGTTTCACCCTGTTTTCATAGAAACAATATTTCATAAAAAATAGATTCTGTAAATTCTAATGACAGGAAAAAAACAACTTAACAGTAATGTAAGTTGTATAAAGTACTAATGATTTATTTTGAAATTCTAATATTCGTAATATTTAGAAATATACTTTCACATATTGGAAATCAGCTAATTAAAGTTCTTGTTCTAGTATCAGTATTAGAGGTTGATGATCAAATGAAGGTTTGCTCATATACGATTGTAATTTTCTTTTCAACTCAATGCATACAAAAATTCAACCAGTGAAAATCATAGAAAATGAATAATGCTTTTGATTTCAGGTAAAATAAAAAGAAGCATGAATTCTCATAGTGACTGTCTGCCTACTTACAGTGCCCAAAGCAAAATAAATAAAACAGCTAAGTTTCCTGACCTAACCAGAGAATGTTAAATTTTTTTCTGCCAACTAGAGTATTTCTTGTACAGAAGGGTCTCCACAGAGTTACATCTAGCATTAATGGGACATTTTTATCGAGATGCTTCTGAAACAGTAAGAGAGAAGCATTTTATAACCCAAAGGGTTAACAATGACTCTCTTTCCCTTTTGTAGTCGCAGTAAATGTCAGAATAGTCAGGAAGTGCTATTTTAGATTACCAGTGCTCTGAATTGACCAACTTACTTCATCTACCATTGCTTGCAAAACTTACCACTAGCAGAAAGACATGAAAGTTGCTGTTCCAAAGGTTAAATATGCTTTTGATAACGAGAGTTGAGCAATATTGTAAAGAGTTAAGTAACAAGGCTGTAATTCACTTTTAAAGCATCCTAATACAAAGTCATACTTTGTATTGCAAACAAAACTTTTGCTCCCAAAATAAGGGGAGATTTAAAATAGGTCTGTAATCTTATTAGCAGTCTGCTACAGTTTAACATGATGTGAAAGCCTCTCAGCAAAGAAGAGTGACTGAAGAACGAACTGCAGGTGTTATTTTTTACACTTATGCTAGAAGGCATAACCAGTATCATACCTGACTGCAAAACTACAGAGCACATAACTTATTCTCAGAGGATCTAATTTAACAGATCATTTCAAAATACTTTCAAAGCATACCAAAATATTACCCTGTAAACTTGTGATTTGCTGCTATTGACATGCAGTACCAGGGAACTGAAAAGACCAATAACATTAACAGTGGCTGAATTCTCATTATGTAAAACAAGCATTTTCCTGCTCTACCCACAACAGTATTTCTATTTGTGGAACATGATAAGAATTATGATCTGTGCCTTATACTTCTACATTAAAAGCACACGTGCCTTTAAAGGTATTTTCAATCTGAAATATCGTGCAGGATACATGGTTGTTCATACATCAGGGTGTATTTCTTTCCTATTGTAGACTGCACCAGATATGTTGGAAGCCTATGCATCTAAGATATATACAATATGCTAAATAACTCTGAAAACCTAAATTAGGAAGATGGGTGGGAACAACCAACACAATAGTAAGAAAAATAGCTTTAGCTTAAATACAGTATTTTTACCCAGCTGCAGAATATTATCTGACAAGAAGTCTATCTGCAGTTTGAGCTGGTAAAAGTAATTAACACTGCTCTCCAACACTGCCTTTCTGCATTTACATACCATGCATTATGCACAAAAAAGGAGCATACAAATAGAGATCCTTTCAGCCCATCTAGCCTGCCATCAAAACCAGCACAGAATTTTTCATTGATAAAAAGAAGAGAATGGAAGAAATCAGACCAACCTTCACAGTGTAGGTCACACCAGGTCCCAGGATCTTCTCACTCAAGTGCAGCCATCCTTGAGAGGGTTTATCGACAATGCTGCTCCTTTGATTCCAGTCTTCATCTCCTGGGCGCATTTCCTCTGACTGTGTTTTTCTCCCCATATTCATCTTGCTCATGTCCTGCTGCGAACACGAAGTGGCAGAGACAAGGTTACATGTGTTGTTAAAAGCTTCTGCTGCTGAGCTAGAAGCACTCGAGCTTCCCTGTAACTTGGAGACCGCAAGCTCCTTCACTGCAGAGGACAGGTTTTTGATACCCAAAAGGCTGCCTGTATTAGAGAATTTCAAGTGGGACACTTTATGGATGAGGGTGCACAGAGTGGTGGGTCCATCTTCTTGGTCCTTGCGGAGAACCTCTGGGGTGACCAGGTATGAAGGTGCTGCCGAAGTTGTAGCAACTGCTGAGATTTTGCTGTTCATGGACAAATTGTGAATAAGATCATCAACTGATGTCACTGAATCATTCCTGAAGCGGTTATACTTGGTACGTTGAAGCATGCCCTTCTATCTAGTTTCCTGCATATGTTCTGGCAAATCTGATGCCAATGCAGGAGATGCCCGTGCTAACATAGCAGGCGATTCATAGCAACACAGGCAGAAAACAAGATTTTGGGGTAAAAAAGCAAACAATATGAGGAAGAACAAAAAATATATATTTTTAAGATATTTCTTGTGGTTCCACGTTAAGGTTAAGTGAAGTAACAGTTTTCTATAACAGAGATCCCAGTCCTGCTTAGAGCTGCCAACTTGCTCACAGCAAAAGCATGACTCACACAAATGAGAAGGACCCTTTTCAACAAAAGGCTCAGTGAGCACTGCAAATCACTTCCTGTAGCAAAAAAATAAATAAATAAAAAAATAAAAAAAATCCACCCACTTACAGCACACTAGCACCAATCAATTCTCAAATTTCCTTATCCTCTCTTCTCAAACAGATATTTCCTTCTAACACTTTATTCTTCCCCCCCACCTCTCCTTTTCATACCAAAGGCAATTACCTTTACAAAGGAATTAACAGCCTTTATAAAACACCACACTTTATTCTTCTGTTTAACTGTTCTTTCACCTCATGTATTTGTGAATCTATAAAGAAGATACAATTAGAAAGCAAATATCTGCATAATATATACACATATATATTCCCCTCTCTTTCCTCCAGCAAAACACAGGGTTTTCAGAATACCTTTAAGCATTTTAAAAACAGATTTTAGAAATAAAGAAAATACACTATTTTCCTTCACAAAAGCAGTCTCGCAGATTTTACAAGCTTTTGTGTCAATGCTATTTCTCACAGAAATTCTTACTTCCAATTTTTTTACAGGGAAAACAATCCTTCTCCCCTACCTCAGAGCAACCCTATGTTTTAATGCAGAATTATATAAAGTACCTATGTGTGAAGTGAGTATTTTTCTGATGTCCAACAACAGGCATAAGAGATGCTTTTTCTTTCACCACTGATATTCACTCCGAAGAAAAACGTGAAATAGATCTCCCATTCCCTAGAGTATTTGCTATAATTCTGAAAAACTGAGAAGTGAGGGGAATATTCAAAAGTCCGTGAATCATCTCGCTAATGTCCTGCAGCGAAGAATAAAAGAATACACCAATTCTTATTAAGCATAAATATCAACCAGAAGACTTGATCTGGAAAGGAGAAAAACATGAAGAAATCAGATACTGCATTTTGCTCTCTTTTTTGTTCTTTTTAAAATGCAAAGTATATATAGCATTGTGAAATACAATGCTCATCACAAGCTATATGGCTTTTTTCTATAAACTGACCTTCTTTTCAAAGCATCTTTTAGACATACAAAAATACAGCATATAGCATTCTTTTTTGAACAGATGAATAACTGCAGAAAATTTTAAAGGAAAAGTCCTGTGGTATTCCTTCCCTCTCCCTTAATAAAGGCTATAATATTCGAATACAACAAAAAAGCTTAAATATAGCTTCTTAATTAGTATATTTTATGCTATTAAATGAAATCAGCACCTCTTATCCCCGCAGTGATGAATAGTGGCAGTGTCAGTGTTTCTAGTGATCTGTGGAATAGCCTCTCACCATCACACTGCCAATCTGCTACAGCATCCTCACAGCATTTGTTCCTCTCTTCATCCTCCTAGCATAGCAACAGCAAATATGCATATCATAGCCTAATATTACTTGTCTCAACTGCCCAGAAAACCCTATCACTCCCACATGGCTCTCTTCATTAGAAGCAGCTAGCAAAACTCCAAAATGTGAATGAGAGTGTGTGAATGGAAGGGCTGGCTAGCAACCTCACATTTCTGTGAATGAAGCAAGGCCTCGCAGCCTCTACCATGCAATCCCTTGGGTACTCACCAGGCCAGCCAATACCAGCCGGCTTTGATGACTCATTCAGCAAAGGCTTGCTAAATAGTGGAAGATCCCATTCCGAACACAGGTGGCATCTTTCCTGCAATAGCACGAGAAAACAAAGCTGGTGTCAAGAGTGGGTGACAGTGCATTGTAAAGCCACTATAGGGGAAAGGGTGTCGCAGAAGAAATGCAAGGGTTATGTGGGACAGAGGTGGCAGGGGAGGAAAAATGGGGAGCCAGGGCTGGGGTCTTTCCTGAGCTGTTGGTTTGGCTGATTCATTTGCATCCAGAGTGGGAATGTGAATGTGCACATTTTGTTTGATGTTTAACTGCTCAGCCTGTATGCCAGCAGATTCACAGATTTTACAGGTCTGCATTCGTAAGTCTATAAGGAAAAAAAAAAAA